CATGCAGCAATGAATTTTGTTCACTCAAATTCAGCTTTTCTTCGCTCAAAATAAATTTCTCCTCAAAATGCAACACTTGCACCTGCAAATTTTTTTTACGTGCGCTCAGAAGAGTGGCACAAAAACAACGCTATAGTTGTGCAGGTCTGAGATCAGCAGTTTTCTGAAACACCAAACTGAGGTCCTGTTAATGCTGATGTATAGTGACACAGTTACAGGGGTGATTAATCCTTTTGACTTTTTGTCTTTAAATTTATCAATAAAACAGCTGCAGCTTTCACTGACAGCACATGTGGTACTTTAACCTTTGTACTGTTTTCTTCAGTTAATTTTGGAGTTACTACAAAGACTGAAGATATAGGATGACCTGTCTGCTGTCACTGGGTGGTGCTGAGGTCTGAATCTGAGGACGGCTCCTGAATCATCACAAACTGAAATATAAACTTTATCTCAAATCTGAAATAGAGCTGATCCTTCTCCGTCCTCACACACTCGGGATCTGAAGTTGTTCAGTCCTGCAGTTCTGGACATCTGCAAAGATGAGATGATGGAGCAGGTTTCAGTCGAGGTTCAGTCTGCTGCTGCATCCTGGTCACAACATACAGAAGTGTTATCAGCTCAGTATTGAACAAGAAATATTAATGCTTCAAATTATTTGTCCTAAAGGATGCAAGCTGTACAGAGTACTGCACATGTGACTTTGTGAACATAACTCATTAAAAATAATTTGGACAGTTTTTTAACCTGAATATATGCAACAAACTCAGTTTAAAAATATACAGTCAGTGCTAAAAAATAATCAGAGGACAAATTAAAAATTTCAACTTAAGCTGCCAAGCGGAAGTAGTTGGTTTCAGTTCATAAGTATCGGGCTTTGCTATTTAATCCATAGCTATTGACTAATGAGGGGTTACTGAAGTGCCAGCTTTTTAAAAGTTGGCGTTAATGTCCTTCCATATGTGGAAAGTGACAGAAAACATGCTGCTGTTTGCACATATTTAATAATCAGCTCTGCACAGGAGCAGAAGCAGAGTCCAGCCTGTTGCTCTTACAGTATAATACTCATAATAAAAGTACAGTAACCGTGGTTAGTCACTGAGCAGCCCGGTGCGTTTCTCTTGATTTCTTTAGTCAGGGTAAATTCATTCACCTGCACGGGTTTGCTAAACGAACTTTACAAAACTAGTTTCCCCGACAGCCGAGTGGTCGTCTCAGCTAGCTAGGTAGCTAGCTAAGGACCTTAGTTACGGATTAGCTTACAAACACATTTAACTTACCAAAAATAATGCGGTGTGGCCTCAGGTCCTCCTGTCTGGTAGTCCAATTTACTGAAGAACACCTCAGGCTGTCACTTTGAAATAGTCGGTAATGTAAACGCTGCCATTCCCGAACAGACACGTGCAAGTTTGTCCGTGACCGCAGTCACGACGTCAGTGTTTTCTCCAGTCATTGGTCAGCATCATAATATATGCAAATACATGCGGGTCGGAATCCCCGCCCCCCAGCGCGCCCCGGACGCCAAAACAGTGCCAGCAGAGTGAATCTGAAAAAAAATTATGGTTTCAATTAATTGTTTTTCACTATCAATTTTTCAGTACATTTATTTCAGTTTCAATATTTTTTTCATATTCATTTCAAGGTGGCATCGTTCTGATCCCATTGTGCAGGTTCACTGACTAAAACACCATGCAAGTGTTACATGTTGGAAAATCCAGAGCAGTTTAAAGTTCAGGAAAGTTTCTTCATGGTTAGAGGTTGAAGTTGCTGATTTAAAGATGTGTGTTAAATAGTCTTTTATGATTGGTCAGAATATGAGATGTTAAGTTAGATGTTAACTCCCAGAAATCTTGAAAGTCAAGCAAATACATCCAGAGTCTCTGAGCCAACTGAGCCCAAAAGCAACTGTAACCCTGTGATTATTACAGTAAACATAGTTGTCTCTTCTGTGTGTGTTTTACTTTATAAAGACATCGATGGTGAGAAACACAAATGTTTTGATAGAGAATTTTGCTGAAGCACACTCATCCTCAGTCACAGATTGCTGTCTTTATTTTTCTGTCCTTGTTTGTACTGATGGTCACAGTTATCCAGTGCATCACTGTTTCACAGGAAAGTATTGTTAACATGTAGCGATGGCCAAATTGGCCAGCAGATGTCACTCTGTGGCTCGATTGAATTCCAGCCCAAGTGTTTCAGTGTTTCACGAAGCCTCGCTTCATCCATCACTACTCAGAGCCGCGCACTACCTCCTGTGCCCCTCCTGCTCAGGCTCCAGATGTTCTCAGAGTCTTCAAACCTCAGAGAACAACTGGGCTGGAACATTCTAAGGGAAAGAGTAAGATTTGGACTGTCAGTCAGTATTATTGGTAGCTTCTTTAATCACTCACACCAGAACTGACATGATCTCAGCCTGAGGCCGCCTCACTTTCAGTCACTGACCATTATTTTGTTGCCAGAAACCGCTGGCTTTCATTTCATTTCTCTGGTTGCTTCGTCCTGCTGGTCACTTCCTGCGCGGATGCCTTCAGATCCCTCTAAGCATTTTGCCTACTTTCACATAACGTCTGACTAATAACCTATAAAATAGCGCTGCCTTTTTTGGAGATATCTTCTTTTTAAAAACAAACATGTGTATATGACAACTGTTCTTAAAAGAACAAAAACATCAATAATCAGCAGATTTAAAATCTGTTCCTGAGAAAAGCCTGTAGTATCCAAGAAACAGTTTGACTCCTTATTTATCTGCTTTGTCTACTGAGTATTATTGTATTGTACCTTACAGTATTAAGCACCTTGAGGCAACTGTTGTTGTAATTTGGCACTCTATAGAAAAAAATGAATTAATCGGAGTTTGTAACCACACCAAAGTATAGTTTAATAGTTTAATATCATATACCTGACATTTCCAGGATGCCTCTTCTTTCTGTTATACAGGAACAGTTTAGCAGGTTGTTGCACAGATCCTCGCTGCTATAGGCCTGTAAAAATTAACTTAAAGCATCATGTTAGAACTCAATTAACAAGCTGTTAGCATCTGTCCTATCTGTGTTTCAGTTTTACCGTCAGATGTCCGCAAAGTGATTGTTGGTGAAGAAGAGCAGCAACAGTGGAGCCCCCTCCTGGACTCAGAGCACACACACATCAAAGAGGAGCAGGAGGAAGCCTGGAGCAGCCAGGACGCAGATCAGCTTCGACGTCCGCAGGAGGCCTGTGTCACCATATTAACATTCAGTCCCGTGAAAAATGAAGAAGATGCTGAGGAGAAACCAGAGTCCTTGCAGCTTCATCGCCATCAGACTGGAATGAAAAAAGAAGCCAGGAACTCAGACCCAGAAAGCCATTCAGAGCCAGGAACTGACAAAGCTTCAGACTCTTCTGAGACCGAGGTGAGTGACGGTGACTGGGAGCAGAACAAGGAACCTCAGTCAGGTCAAAAATGCCGGAAAAACCACAACTTCACTATTATCGACATTAACTGTAACATTGAGCGATCGTTCAGCTGTTCCGAATGTGGTCAGAGGTTCGGCAGAAAGCCACACCTCAAAGCACACATGAGAATTCACACTGGAGAGAAACCTTTTAGTTGCTCTTTTTGTGGCAAAACATTTTCTCAGAAAGGAAACTCCATCAGCCACATGAGACTTCACACTGGAGAGAAACCTTTCAGCTGCTCCATCTGTAAGAAAAGTTTCAGGTACAGTGGTGACGTGAGCAGGCACATGAAAATCCACACAGGACTGAAAAAAGGCCGCAGCAAGGTTAGCGACATGGTCAGCAGTGGCATTCATGTGAGGTCAAGACCTGGCGGGAACTTACATCCAGACACTTCCTTACAACCAGGAAGTGATGTTAAAGCCCCAGAACCTGAGACTGAAGCAAACCACGAAACTTTGAAGGAACCTGGAGAATCTCTGCCCCATTTAAACTCTCTGAGGAGTGACGCTATCTCTCTGAGTGAGATAAGAAGTACTGATAAGGAGGCATTTAGCTGCTCTGAGTGTGGACGGACATTCTGCCGTAGAGACCACCTGATCAGCCACATGAGAACGCACACTGGAGAGAAACCATTCAGCTGCTCAGTCTGTGAGAAACGTTTCAGCTGTAGCGGGAACATCTTGGCACACATGAGAATCCACACAGGAGAGAAACCGTTTGAATGTTCGTTCTGCGGGAAGAGTTTTAGCCAGAAAGGAACACTGCAGCTTCACGTAAGAATTCACACGGGAGAGAAACCCTTCACCTGCCCTTTTTGTGATAAAAGATTTGCGCACAAAAGACGCATGACGCTGCACATGTCTGTCCACACAGAGGAGAAACGGTTCAGCTGCAGCGCTTGTGACAAAAGGTTCACCTGGTATACGCAGCTCAAAACGCACAGGTGTGTCGGAGAGCCATCACAGCTCCGCCAGAACCAAAGTGAGAAGACAGTTCCTCCGAAGGAGTCCTTCAGCTGCACTGAGTGCGGTAAAATGTTCAGCCTCAAGGGCAATTTGAAGACACACATGAGAATTCACACAGGAGAGAAACCATTTGGTTGTTCAGTTTGTGGAAAGAGTTTTAAACAAAACGTGCATCTGACTGAACACATGACAATTCACACAGGGGAGAAACTCTATAAGTGCAGCATCTGCGGTAAAGGATTCAATAAGAAGTTACTTATTAAAAACCACACCTGTGTTTAAGCTTGGACGCTTTATCAGCTCTGATCACATCCACAGATTTATATTCATAAGTCACTTAATATTAAAGCTGTAGTGATTCATAGTATGTTTCTGAGTGTTGCATACATTTTTGTCATTTATATTGAAAATATAGAGCATTGAGCCTAAATCTTCCTGCATAAGGTTTAAATGCTGCATCCTGACAGCAACAAAAAGACTCTGGGATGTGCAATACAGTGGAACCCCGACTTACGAATACCCCATTTAACGAAAAATTCTAGTTACGAAGGCACTTAACGGCAATATTTCTGCCCGTGTTACAGCAAAATGCCCACATAACGAAATCCGCTGGCTCTGATTGGCTGAGCCCAGAATGCCTACAATAACCACAATGCCTTCCGAATCATGTGACAACCCCCTTGGCTTTCGTACTTGCGCTTCGCTGTTCCACTTGAACGACGTATTGTTGTTGTAGTTAGCAATTAGCCTATAGCCTATCTTTCACTCAAAAGGCGCGATGGGTGCTTCGACTTACAAACATTTTCGACTTACGAAAGACCCTCGGGAACGAATTAATTTCGTAAGTCGGGGTTCTACTGTATTTTCATAATGAACCTGTAGAATAGATTTGTCCAAAGAAGCGAGTATGTTGATTTAAATGTTTGTGGCTGAGCATACATGAAAACAATCCGCCTCACTTTTTAAATTTGTTTTATCAAATATTGCATCAAAATTATATCATTGTCTGAATACAAGAAAAACAAACCTGTTTAAAATGCTGCAATTTGAATGAGTTACACCTGACCCCCTCAGAATCAGCTCATCTTCTTCTGCAGGAGTTTAGCATATTTAATCACACTATGTTAAATTAAGTTACTTTCATACTATGAGTATTTTCACTTACAGAACCTCAAAGTATTTGGTCTTCACTCTGTGACACTGCAGGAAACACCGACTATAGACCAAATCTGTTTCTGTTTGTCAGCATGAGCCATCACACAGTTCGGCATCAGTGTGATGAATCAGTCCTCTTTTCATACCAGGGTGATCTTAGTTCCTTCTGTGTCAAAATAATTTTCTGATATAGGAAGTTTTTAACCCTATGAAGCTGACTCGTGCCTGTGAAATCACGTTCTGTGTAACAGATTGGACAGACCACATCAGCCTAACAGCATTACGTCCTGAATAAGGTTTTATGACTGTTTGAAGGTTCTGGATCCCAGAGAGCTCGGGCTTAATGTTGAGCTTCTCATCAGTTTAGAGGGGGGCTGCTGCTCGTTCATGTTGATCCATCCATGTAGAAGAAAGTCTGCTGGTGCTAAAGGAAGTTGGCCACTGACAGATTTTTCATGGAATGATGCTGCTGTTGAAATATTTACTCTTGAAACCTCCTGACTCCTGAATTTCCTTCCTTGCAGAAACATTTTCCGTTTGTGAATATGTGTATTTATAAATTTAGAATTCCGAGTCTAAAAGCTTTACTGTCTGCACACTTCTTGATTGTGAGGCTCACATGAAGCCGAACTTTGACAACATCCCTTTAATGGCTGATATATATATATA